TTGGAAAATTATTTTTACGTTTGATGCTTTGTTTCAATTTTTCCCAAGTCAACTCGATGGAATTAAAAACACAAAAATAGGGGGAAAGTCTCAGTATGGTGTGTCCATACTTTTCAGCGATACTCTCAAGGGTATACACTTTTCCAAATTTTTTTTCGTCTGTAAAATTTCAAGTAGTTAGTTTTTGGTATTGTAATCTTCAAATTACAAATTGTTATCCATTAAAAAGTTTGTATTTCATCTTTCCTCGAATTTTTATTCGGTACTTTGATGAGCTGTCGTTAATGATAAGAAGCATTGTCAAGAACTATTACACTATTCGCATCCAAGTTTGGGATCAATGTGTTTTCGAAGCATTTCACGAAAATATTAGCTTCCCTGTTCTTATGATAGTCAACATTGCAGACCTCAAGTTTTTTTCCACACAATTTTAAAGAATTCGGAACCCATTCTTCACTTCCTCCGCAATGCACAATGATTAGTCGTGATCCTTTGTTTGCAGGCATGTGAGGCGTATACATTCTCGAACCATTAGTTCACCCTTTCGTAACTGTGTCGTGTGATGATTTTATTAGATGAACATTTAAAGGTTTTGGTAATCCTGTATCACATCGCGTCTTGCGTTCATAAAGTTTGTTTTTGACTATTTTACGTACAGTTGGAGAAAGGAATTTTGGTCAAATCTGATGTTGGTTGTAATAGTTTGTTTCCCTCGAAACCCATATATACGTTGAAACATACTCTTTGTGTTTCAAAATTCAAATTTCTTTGTATTGCCCTTTGGCCTTTGAAGGTGCCGACACTTTAAGAATGGACAATACCAGCTACCTCGACTATACATATTCCGGTTTCTAGACCTGAACATACACTACGTAGACACATTTATGAGACAGCACCCAGAAGACGCATTTGACAGAACATAGAAGACAAGCATAGAAGGTCAACCAAGCAGAACCAACGACCTCCTCCGAGAGTCGCTGTCAGGCGGCTCCGGTAAGTATAAAATTTTTTCTAACAGATAACAAACACTTCCTCATCAGGTTCAACGAGAAATGATCGACCGCGATCTCTTTTCGAAACAACAGTCTCCGGTTAGTTTTTGGGGACCCCATGCAAAAATTCAGTTAGGAAAGTCAAAATAAAAAAATACATTAGATCAGAAAGTGAAAGCATCTAGAGGCTGACTTTCAACCAAAGTAGGTCAGATGTCAATCTTGCTGAAGTGCCTATCAGTAAGGTGAGGAACGCTCTGGAGGAGCGGGGGTGGATGGACGAGATGGAATGTTCTGCACACAGTAACCATGTGGGGAAGATTTCAACTCAGGTCACTCAACCCGGGAGGGGGCATGGGGGGACCATAGTTTTGTCTTTCCTGTTTGACTTGTTATTTTTTTGGAAACAGTAGATTTCTAGTAGATCGATAAAAAATCAGAAAATTTTTTTGGATGCTTCTTGACATGATCCTGATTAGAAAACAAATAAACTACCCTCATGCATTGTAGTGAAACTTTCAAAGTACTACAGAAAATATGAATATGATATGATATATATGATATAACCACGTTGAAAAGGCATAGGGGTAGATGATTCAATGAATTTGTGATCCAACACCAGGCAGCACTGTTTCGATTCATCAGATCTCATCAGGGGTACTAGGCTGAACCACTGAACTGCCCTGGAAAAGACAAAAGCCCTGCAAAGCAATTTGATGGATTTGTGATAACCAGACAGCACTGTTTCGACCCACCAGTTCTCATCAGTGGTGTTAGGATGAACCGATGAACGGATCGTCTTGGGGAGCCTAATTTGTCATTCTAATTGGAGATTGAGTCGATTCCATAGTTGGAGATCATCAACAATAGTCGAAAAGTCTATACCTGTAAAAATGTAAATGAAAGACTTTTTTCGGATCCCATAAAACAAAATACCGTTGGTTGGAGCAGTACTTCATATATAAAAATTATCATACTATGATTACAAAGGGCAAAATGGATTATCAAGCCAGTGGAGTAATGTTAGAAAATTGTTCGCACATTACTCTGAATCTCAACAATATCCAATTTAATACAAATTCATTAACTTATATTTTTGTAGTGTTTTGTTTTATTATTAATTAATGTTAGTTTCGAGTTGAAAATCATTTTATCTTGTTACGTTTGACATATAATTGTTATACTTTTTATATATTTTGTTGGTGGTTGATAAAAAAAAGAAGTTGTTGAGTTGTCTGACTGACATATGAAACCTTCTTAACTTTGCGTCCGAGTTTTATAGTAAAAATACCGAAAGGTTGAGTTGCTTTGCTGTTATCGTGTCAGGTTTCCTCTACTGTCTATATAATACTTTTGTGAAGTTGATACATTTTTGACAACATGCTCAGTCAGTCATAAAAGTCACAATTGTAGAATGAATATGGACTAATGCAAGACACTTCATCACAAAACTTGAAGGCAGATCCAATTGGGAAACATGAAGTTTCCAGTTGAATATTATCCCAAAAAGTATAGGAGAATATGATGTTGCTGTAGGTGATGTATCAAAGTTAGATGCTGTTCAGAAAAAGAGGAAGTATTCAAATAATCAATACGAAAGAAACTTGAGATGAAACTGAAAATAAAAAAATGAAAGTTCAACTTCGGGATATGACTACTAGAATTGAAGGGGAATGTGGGAATTGGAAGATTCCCACATTTTTTGTATCAAGATGGAGTAGTAGAAAGCCAAAAACTTTCTTTCCCAAAAATGACTAAATCTTAAATGAATATTCATACAGGACGTGGTCTGGTGATTCAGCAGAAATTTGCATTGCCAAAAAACGTCATTCGATGTAAGGGTCCTATGAATAATGGAATAACAGAATAATGGCTCCGAAAAAGCGTCGGGACTCTGAGGAAACCTTGGGAGGAGTCGAGCCTCCTTCTGAAGATACCGAGAGTCTTAATTTCCATTCCAGACAGAACCCTGTTATGTAAGTAGACACTTTTTCTCAGCAGAGAAGAGGAAAAAGAAGGTCAAATCCTAACCTTTTCCATAGAAGAAGAGTATGTTCAAAGCCTACTATAAGCTGGTTATGGTAACCTTCATGGGTCTCCACATCAGCATTGGTGTTGATAGTAGAACAAGCAAACATACAGCATAATTAGAGTAATTCTGCTATCCTTGCGAAGGTTAAGTGTAAGTTTAAGATTGCTCTCATACAAGAACCTTGAGTCAATGGGGTACACATCGTGGGATTTGGGAGAATGGGAGGTGAGTTTCTTTAAGGAAATTTCGGAGCTTCTAATACTGAAACAAGTTAAATGTTCAACTATGTCTATAACTACTCATTCTTAGAAATTTCCTTTCTCAAAACCCATATTTAAAAATGGTACAGTTTGAGATACTTCTTTGCCGTATCAGAACCGAGAACTCCATGAAAAATTTAATGAAAATCTAGCTTTGAATTATTTTTTCATGATACAAAGCATTAGTTTTGTGGGTGACACTGCTAACTTTTATTCTGGTGATAGATGAAGTCATTAAATCAACTTTTTTGAAAAAGATCTTGCTAAATTGAAATGCTAGTTATATTTAACCAAATCAAGTACATATCTCAGGCTCCACAACTGCAACACTCTTTTCGACGCGCGCCTTACCAACCGAGTTGTCGTCTTCAGAAGATGAAGTACACAGTGTACTAAATTTCGCCGACTGTTACATCGATTATTCAAGACATAACAAAACTGTTATGAAACAGACCCTGTAGGGACTCAATAAACCACGTGATCTTTGCCACAAAATTTCTATAAACGGACCCATGCAACTCAAAATTGTTGGAATATTGAGTTTTCTTTCCAAAGCTTCAATGTGATGTTTATCAAATGATTAGCTATAAGTTTATTGCATTCAATTGTTAGAAATTGTTAGGAATAACACGTTAAAAGGTGAGACGTCGTTAGTCCTTAGCTCGCACAAGTTTCTCAACTTCTAAGAGTTGTCGTTCGTATGGGGGCGACAGCTGATTACCGTAAAAACAGATTTTAGACAGATAATTTATTGAGGGATGTGTATTCATTATATACTCAGTCAGTATGCAATTATTGGATTCTTTCAGTTTCTATCATATGTCGTGCAATTAATAAATGAAAGTGAAGCTTTCGATTTAGCTATTTCGATTTACTCATCAGCAAGCTCAAGTTCATAGGATTCGATGACATTTCTCTTAAATGGGTGACCAACTATCTCACAGGCCTATCACAGAGGGTCAAACTAGATGATTACTCATGGTCATCCCTAAAAGGATACAATCTCACCCCTAAAATCCCATCCCTAAAAGAAACAATCTCAGGTGTACCGCAGGGAAGTATTTTAGGACCCTTGATGTTTTCAGTGTTTATTTATGATTACCCTACTACACATATTTGAATAACGAAATATGTTCAGGATGATTGGAAGAAAATTTATTAAGAAGATGCATTCATTAAATAATAAATTGAAAAAACTGAGTTCAAAAAAGCATAAGCGTATGGCTTCGAAAACCATCAACATTGTAGAAAGGTCTGTAATTTTTAGGAATCGACAAATCTCCGCTTTTGGGGATAAGAACGGTCTGCCCCTCGACAAACCAATTCTGAATCGGCTGCTCTCCGTCCAGCCATGAGTTGAAAACTCTGGCCAGATGGTGGTGGGTGCTTGGTGGTTTTTTCCACCAATAAGTGTTTAGCCTATCTGGGCCTGGAGCATCAAAGTTCTTGGAACCCACAGGGGCTCTTCGAACATCATCCGGAGTTATCGGGTTGCGCAGTTCAATGAGCTCAGGCTGTCGAAGCTCTCTGTTGAAAGCTTCGAACTGCGCTAGGGCTGGTGTGTCTAAGTTGAGTGCCTGCGGGTGTTCATAGATATCCTTCCAGAAGTATTCCATCTGATCAGCGGTCGGCGGATTATTATTATTATTATTACTATAGATTGCGAAGGGTACACTCTATTTTTCATTTCAACTCAGTTTTTTTTTCAGAATCCTAAATTTTTCTAAAAATTCACACCTATATATAAAATTCTAGTACCTACTCATTCTCACAACTGGAAGGTAGTTCCCAAGCAATTTGTAGTTCTACTACACTCGCAGATTCTCCAAAGTTTTATTACGAATATAAATCAATTCAAAATGGAGTAGTAGAAAGCCAAAAACTTTTTTTCTCAAAATCTTCAATATAATTCACAAAACGGCTGAAAAATAAATAGATGAAAAATGTAATTTTTCACTTTCCTCTTTTGAACCTCCTTTGGTACAGATATACGAAAAAAACTTTGTTCAGTTCAGATAATAAAACAGCTAACGAGTTATTGCTGCTCTATCATTCAGTTATAGTCAACAGCCAAACTTTTCTAGTTGCCGATAGCATTAAACGGTAGTGAATAATTTCTACATGAATATTGGGTTCTTTGACAAATATATTTGTCAAGTACACAAGTCAATTGGGATGTTGGAGAGTTAGGATTTATCACAAGAAATTCCATTGTTGAGATAAAATGATGTTAGTGCCAAATTGGCAGTCGGATGATTCTCAAACGTTTATCAGAATTGTAATAATGCAACATGCATTGGCAGGTCAAAATAGTAGATACTGCTGAGTATTGGATCACAAATACATTTTTGGACTCTGGTTTCGTTATATATATTGCTCAAAACAGATTTGATCGTTCAATAGGTAGATTATCCAGTATTTATTTTCAAAATTCCTCAGTTGAATAATGAACATTGTTATCAGATAAGAACATTTCAAAAGTTAGTTGAGCTCTGGACAATATTGGAAATGATCAACCAATTTTTCTTAACACCTCATAACGATGAAATAAAAGTTCGTATAAGGTCTTATTGCAAATATTACGAATTCATGATCTATTTGTTTTGTTGGAAATTATTCTTGTAATACACACGAGCCACATCCATCAAATGTTTCGAAACCGAATCTCCTGTTTCCATTACCAAACTGAAGAATATTCCTTTTTTCTCGATTAAAATATGTGGGTGATCGTACTCAAAAATCCTACCAGCTTCCATCACCAAAACTTTATCGGAGTCCATGATGGTATTTAGTCTATGAGCAACGGTCAAAATGGTACACTCAGAGAATTTGTTTCTTATCCTTGTTTGAATCAATTCGTCAGTCCTGGAAAAAACCAATTTGGATCTGCTTTGGGATACAATGAAATTCATCAGAAAATTTTACAAATGAGGAAAAAATATACAACTCAATTTTATTTGAAAAATAAATGAATCGAATTCTGTCTCCAAAGGAGGAACAAATGAATTGTATATTTTTTCCAGGTAACACGAGTACAAACTAAAACTGCATTTAAAATGAAATTGATTTGAATATTGAGTTCGATTCAAATTTTAACCAATGTAGGTACTGGTTGTAGAATTTGGTCAGTTGGAAAGAAGAAGAAAATACAAATCACCCGAAGAATGGTTTAGAAAAATGAAACCTGCAAAGCTGAATATGTAGTTTACAAATTTCCATCAATGAAATTACTGAAAACTTTTGAACTAAATTATGCGTCGAATTTATGAAAACGTGTCTGTCGAACGGAAACAATTAGGTATGAGTGTGACGAAGATTCCCATGACTTCAGCTTAGGTTTTCATATGATGATCATCAGAAATATTTAAGAAATAATATAGGAACTGATATTCAAATTATCTTATGAAAACGGTTAGAATCCAATTCACTTGTTCTTATCTCAAATATTTTTCGGATAGGTAGAGGCATTTCTTACCGAGTACTAGATGAAATGAAGAAATTCTTAAAACAAGAATCTCACACCAGCCACAATTATGACGTTACTCTATAGTGAGGTTGAAATATTGATTTTGAAATAAGACCAATTCGCTAGCACGAAATATTTTTATAAAAAACTTCCAAGTCAGGAATTTTATCATTCAAACATATTATCATAATTATCGATTGAAAATGTCTCACATACCATTGTTCTGGTACAATATTTTACAAACAATATCCAATACTTGAGACTTGAAACTTTTCGCCGACTCACGAGAATAATCTCGTCAAATATTATCTGTTTGCTGGATATATTTCATCGTAATATATGAAACACTCAAATTTTATTATGAGAATTGATTCATAACTGCATAACATTCTCCAATGAAAACTACATAGATCCCTTCTTTTTCAAAAATGCAATTTGAAAGATTATACCTGTGATCGACATTGGCAGTAGCTTCATCTAACACAACTATTTTGTTATTTTTCAAAACGGCTCTTGCTAAACAAACTAGTTGTTTTTGTCCGGTACTGAAATTGTTTCCCCCTGCTGTGACCATCATATCGAGTGAGGAAATAGCACTTTTTAGATGTACCTACAAAAACCCTGTGTGAGTCAGAAAAGTTCGTTAAAAGATGTTAATGTGATATTATTGAGTATATCATATATTCAAAACTGTCGATCGTTGAACAAATCATCTGACACCATTAAAATACCATTGATATATCCAACTTCAGTTGATTTGATTTCAGAAAGAATTTCTTTGCAAAAATATCATCAAAGTCAAATGATTCTGAAGGTTACAATAATGATTGTGTCTTGCATACCTGATCCAATGCGTCCCATATTTGACTGTCTGTGCACTGCCCAAAAGGATCCAAATTGTGACGAATGGTTTCCGAAAACAATACAGGATCTTGTGGGATTATTGATATACTTCTTCGTAGTGCATCTAACTTGATAGTTTTTGTGTCTACGCCATCAATTGATATAATTCCATCAAATTGACTTAGACTGAATAGGGCTGTTATTAGAGAAGACTTTCCGGCACCCGTTCTACCTACCACTCCTACCTGACATATTAACAATTTTCTTTTAGCACCAATTGCAATTAATTTCCGAAATCAGTTTTGTGTGTGTCATGTATTGTTTATTGCCACGAGTAACACATTTGTTTCAATTCTCCTCAAATAACCACTTAGATGAACCTTAAATGGTAACATCAAATCTCTTATTATGATTCAATTGAGTAGTTCTGAAAGGTCTAGACATGATAGTATCTACTTTGTCTATGAGTGATATTCAGATAGATTGACATTTGATTATGAAGTCTAGTTGAATGTACTCGTATTTATTATCCTTCACCAGAACAAACTTTTTTTTCGCGACTTTCGCTAACTGAGCATCATCAGATGGCGAAAACCGTGCATAGTTAAATTTACTTCATTTCATATTCATTGGATATCAATACTCAATGAGTCGAGAATAATTAAATAAATTAGAGAAAACATTGTTAATTCCCCTTCTTTTGAAGATCAATTGTCACGGGTTAATTTAATGTACCGCCGAATTCCAATAGCTGACCACGAGAAATAGTCGATTAAATTTGTCATTTCACATTCCCCCAGTTAGAGTTCCTCTCTTTTTCATCAATAATAATCTAATAATCTAGAAGTTGAAGTAGTTTAGTTGATTCTTCGATTCAGTCATTGAAAATATTGTGTTTCACTATTTTCATGCAACATTTTGCTTGGAGCTATGCCATTATCAGAGCAGAGACAAATAAATAAATCACAGTTGTGTGAGTGAATACAAAAAATAAACCAGAATTTGTTAAACTTCATTTTTCTAAATGATTTTTTACAACAGTTTTGGGCCTGAAAATATAAGAAAGAAAAAAGGAAATTCCTCAGTTTATTTTGAATTTTTATATATGCGAGTCTGACATTTCAAAATACTTTTTGAAATAATAATTTTTTTACTGGAAATTAGTTCTGGTGGTAGGAGTTTCAAGACTTTTGATTTTGTTTTAATTTTTAATCTATTTCTACAATTTTTGAGGTCAGCCGAAATACTAGGTACTATATGTATTTTCAAAGCAAATTAGAACAAATATTGTATAAAATATATTGGTTATCAAGTGCTGCTCAGGTTGAATAATTCATCTCCGAAGATGTGTTGAAGAACTAGCTATTTTCACAAGTAATGAAATTTCGTACAGATGTACAGATGGGTTATTGAAACGAATATGGGCTTGAATCGTACCTCATTTGGATAACTTCAAAATCTAATAATATTTATGAATATTCTCTTTTGAATTACCTTTTCTTTTGGATTTATCGTGAACGTAATTCCTCTCAGAGCCAAGGTATCAGAATATTTCATAGAAACGTTTTTATACTCAATCTTTCCTGTTTGTGGCCATTCGTTGTGCAGAATACCTGTAGAGTTTCAGGTGTTGATAATAAAGTAAGTAAGTAAATAAAGTATAGTAGATATTTGTACCTCTGATATTCTCGTTACAGTCTTCTGTCGGAAGCTTGGAATATTCTATAATTCTTTCGATGGAAACCACGCTATGTATAACATCGATACTCCTCCTCATTCCATACTGTACGATTGCTGATAATTGAAGAGAGTGATAAATTCCTAGTCCTACAAAACTTGCATCACTTCCATTAACTGAAAAATAAAAGGTGCATTGAAGGTGGTTCACGTTATTATGTCATTATGTTACACGTTATCACACATTTGTCTATTAACAAATGTAAGGTCTACTGTACAGAGTATTTACAATATTTACATCTCTCCCACATACGAGAGCCTTAGGGGGGAAATGATTAGTGAAGGAAAAGGGGAGTATCAGTAGGATGATACTTCAATATTGAGCCCTAGGATGCCCGCAAAGTAAAACGCTGCCTCATAGTCCCACGACAGGCCGATGGGAGGCGCCCCCACTGGTGTTAACGGGTGGCTCTCTGCCCAATAGAGCCTCATTTCAGCATTCAGTCGAAGATTTCCCGCTTACTGCTGAGGCTCAAGAGAGATTTATTGTGGTATTGCGGTTTCGGTATCTCATATCTGAATATAGTAGTGTTGCAAGTTTATCACTGGCCCCCCGAAGAAAGTTCATGAAAATACCAGGTAAGAGAAATTCTGATATCATCAGCATTTCATGAATCAGTCCGTGTTTTCGGGGCTGATTATAATAACTGACAAGCGCTGTGACGTCCCACGTCAGTATGCTTTTTGGTAGAAATTACTTGAAGAATTCATAAGACAGCCTTCTAATATATTTAGTGACCGTCTTGACTTTTACTAGATCTAACAGATCATTTAATGAAATGTATCTGTTACTGTTCGAGCAAATACGTTATTATTTACTCTGCATCGTCACGAGTCTCCGCAAAAGAGACGTCTTGAGGTTGCAGAATATGGGACAGGCGTTCAACATAGCTGGTCTGATTATTTGTTTGTAAGTTAGCAGCTTGTTGTCAACACTAAACTTAGTAAGTTTCTTCCAGAAGATGACGAGTTCCGTTTTGTTAGGGTTAATATCGATTTTATTACGCTCGAATTACGGCACGACCAATTTGTCGAGGTGGATTTCAAGCTGTTGCTTCGCCACCTCGCTTGTGAATGAATGCGCCTATATCGCAGTATCATCTGCGATATAGGCGCCTGTACAGAGACTAGAAGTGCGGCAGGATCCCTGCGGGTCATCTGCTTCAATTAGATAATTCATAGTTGTGGTTTGTTGTATCCGACTTCGCCAGAACTCGAATTGCTCCTCGGGGATGAGATTCATCCTATCTTCCAGGCGAAAAGATCTGCTGAAGAGAATCCTATCAATGACTTTCGCCGCCCCACTGAGTAGCGAAATAGTGCGATAGCTATCGATATGATTTTTCTTTTCCAGACTTATGGATGAGCACTACCTCCGCATGCTTAAGACAATCTGGGTAGTGTTGGTGTTTGATTATAGCATTGACTACATGTACTAGTTGTACAACACCCTTTCGCGGCAGAGTGTAGAACTGCCTCAATCCCATCGATGCCTGGGGCTTTAATTTTCCCCAGGCGCTTGATGGTTGCGATCACCTTCTTGACGTCTGTGATTCACTTCAGCAAGGTCGTCTCCGGTATCGTCGGCGCCGATCTGCTCATTATGTTGTTTGCAGGGCTAGTGGTAGCTCTGTGTTAAAGAAAACAATCAGTAGAATGCACTTTATGTTAGTATAATTACAATCACTTCGAAGTTTGAATGGATACGTTGAACCATTAAACGTAAATTATAGAATGTCCAATACATTTTTGAACTCTAAAAATGAAAGAATGTTCATCAGGAACTGAACAGATCAGAGAGTTTTTCATTCTATTCATTCCTATAACAACTTATTTTGAAAGCTATTTTTACGTTCTGCAGTTTGAAAGTGCGATAGTATATATTCATAGAGAAAACCACAAAATTTAGATTCGTGTTATTTTGAGAAGTTGAGAATTTACGAAGTTATTTTCTAAATATACTTTTCTTTATTAACGCACAACAATGTTTGGATCTATCAGTGACAATAACACAATTTTCACATTGACAACTTCAATAGTAGTTTCCTCAGTCAAAATCATATCTGAGAGACACCCACTGCTTTCACCTATGTCTCTAGTATTTCCTCAATTTTGTATCTTGAGGAAAATAAAAAACTAATATACAAGAATATTTGTTCCCGTCATTCATTTTTGTGGATAATGGTGGACTCCCTGAGGAATATATCATCAAATTTTTTGGAGGCAATCTGATGATAGATGTTGGTGATGAAGGGTAGATCGGAAACCTCTGGCGTGATATGAGTCCAAAACAAGCATTTCATCCAAAAACCAGAACTGCCAAGTTAGTCGATGAACAATGTATGTTCTGGCTCACTTAAAGATCGTGCGTCGTTGATAAGTGTTTCATAGAGAAACTTTAGTGAGTGGGAAAGAGAAACGTGTGACTTTATCGATGCAGGATGGAATGAGTATCGTAGAGAATCAAAGAGCGTGGGCCCCTACCCCCTTGGACCCACTTGGGACACCGCCTCACCTGTTGGGCCCCCTTGTCACGTACCAGTCACGTGGTCCTAATTGAAAAAAGTTTATCGGTATCAGATTTGAATGCAGGTCGTCAGCGTGGTAGACGTTGTCCTAAGCCTCGACAACAACCTACAATATTGGAAGTAATTGTATAGCAGTTGTTTTGTCGGGACCGAAATTGACTCATTCTCTATACTCATCCTCTTTTCTGGATTTCTGTATAATTTCAGGGAAATTGTAACTTCATTTTCTTGTAGAAGAAAATATCCTTAGATTTGGGAAAGAATTGATGTTTCATATAAAGGTGTGTGCGTATGTGTGTGTAAGAGTGAGAGACACGTGTGACATAATCGATGCAAAGTGGGATGGAGATGGTATCGAGATTATACGTCGCTAGTGCAAGCATGACAGGTTCGGTGTTGTCGGTTGTGAAATAAATCGTTGTTTATGGGGCGATAGGGCGTTGCCGGTTTCAAAATTAGGCATGAACGGTTAGGAATACGACTCGATAAAAATTGTATGGTTATGAGGTGACGACGACTAGGAGGATCTTACGTTTCAACGTGCGTTCCAACATGTTAGGAGGACACCAAGTCGTATCTTTGTCAATTAAGTTACCATCATCAGGAGAAGAAGAAGATGGCACCGAAGGTGTCGATGAGTTACGTATTGTGGAGTTAACGTGGAGTCAATGGGTGAGCGAAGTATTCGACAATGACATTTCAAAGTACGTTGTTTTACGTAAGTTACGACCGTTTTGCTTGCGTTTCGATCGTTTTGCGTGTGTCGGATGTTAAAATGCTAGACTCTCGACCGACAGGTTTTTTTCATAAGTAATGTATTTTGAGACTCCCGTCAGGAATCACACAATGAAATTTTACAACCTCGTTAAACTGTAATTTTTTTAAATGGCGTATTTTGACGCACCTTGTATACTCCACTCAATGTCCGTTACATCATCGCCATTTTTTTTTCTATAATCATGTATTCTACTACATCTCGTACACATTAACACGCACGCAAAACGACCGAAAGTACTCTTTTTTCCGTGTAAATCAATGTTTGTATGAAAGTTGTTTCGAAAAGGCTTTTTCTGTCAGTTTGTATCTGAAAGCAGATTGAATTGATAGGGAAGCTGGCATGCGACCTTCTTCACTGTGATCTTAGCAGATCTTTGGTTATCAGATCCTTTCATCTAGCTTGATATCTTCAATGAAACTCTGAAGCCCTAATATTGGCTTCTTCGTACAGCCTGTAGCCTCTTAACTGTTATTTATGGGTGAAGGTCTCTTCTTGACTAATTTTGCCTGCCTCATTCCTGGAAGCTTGTTCCATCAGTGTGTAGCTATTTGGCTTGTATCCATGAATTGAAAGATGTATTTATACTTTTTTCCATCAGTACAAAGAAGGGTTCTGGACTTATCATGGCTTTGGATGCACCTTCACGAGCTATAGCATCGGCCTTTCTATTGCTCTTGTATCGTTCGTGTAAGGATATCCAGGCAAAGGAAACTCTATTGCGGAAACCTAGCTCATTGTATGCGCTAAGACAGCTCCCTATGAGTTGTGAAAAGACTTGGTAGGAGCTGAGCGCCTCAATTGTGCTTAGCTGTCAGAAAAAATGGCAATGGTTCTCAACCTTCTGCCTGAGCATTTATCCCACCCAGTGTTCGATAGCCGCAACTTCTAGGTGGGCCATTTTTCCACTTCTCTATGCTTGGTATGATGATAATCGGAGTTGGCCCCTGCATCAGCCCGTGTGTCACCATTCGGGCTACCTATCCATTTTTTATTGAAATGATCGCTGAGGTATTTCCGTACCTCAGTTTTGAAATGTGGTGGTGGACTGTCTTGTTGTAGCAACATTCTAACTCTTGTTCCATATGAAACTCTGTCCAATAAATTCGAGAACTTATGCCGAAGAAATCTTACTTATTTTCTTCCAGTGAGATACCCAACCAAAAATGATGGAGCGATAACTCTTTTTCCGAGAATTCCACCCCAAACATTCAGTGACCAACGCTGTTGATGGTTCAGGCAACGAACAAAATGGAGGTTTTCCGTTGGATTATAATGATAATAATGCATGTTATGCCGATTCACAGTTCCATTTTTATGGACAGTCGTTTATCAGAAAATAACACAAAATCGAAAAAATAATTTTCCAGATTGATATTTTCTGAGCCTTATCGGCTTAACTCTTGATTTAATGTATGTGGTAAGGATGAAATTTGCTTGCTCTTATCATTCAAGAAACGCTGGTTTGAGAAAATCCTAATTCCCTGCTCAGGTCTCGGCTACTCACATGGCGATTTTGAACAAGGTGAACAGCAATTTGAAATGTATTCTCTTCATTTGTTACAGGGCAGACATGTTCGAATTTCTCATGATTGGCATTACCAGTTCTTTCAAATCTTGTTTTTGGAGCCTGAAATGCTCTTTTATGTGGTTGTCTTCTTTCGGGAAACTTCTCTTTGTAAATCCTAGATGCAAGGAGGCAGTTTTCGTCACTTTCCCCCAAAGCATAGACCGTTTGCACCATATCTTCCAATACATAATTCATAATGAAAATGATTCAATATACACGTGAAAGAAACTTTAACACATGGCGTTATTGACAAATTCCAAGATTCATTTTTTTGATGTCAGTCATGGAGAACTGGGTTTTTAAAGAGAAAAGCCGTATAAATATTCTTTAGGTTTTCACACATTTCTTACTGTTGAAAGCGCTGATAACTATCACTAGATGGTATGAAAAAAGCTAATGTACTAGCAATTAGTTTGAATATTCGGAAAACAAATTTGCATAAGTGCACGTAAGAAAAATAATTTTTTTGGTTACAACAATTACTAAAACTTGGTATAATTTGTAGAATATCAGTTTTTGCTATAGTATACTCATGATAAAAAATGTAGTGAAATGTTGAATCATTTCATACGAATGAAAAACTACAGGGTGTATTTGAAAAATTGACCGGTTTTACCGAGCACCCTATATATTGTTTCCGAAAATTGAGATTTTCGAAATTATCAATTAGACAATGGTAGTGTATCACAAGTTGTAATGTTATCTCGATTGGTGCTTTGGAGGACATGAGACATGTCTCTTATTCCGAAACACCGATGTCCGCCATTGATCGAAGTTTCGATCAACTCCATCGCGTCAATTGGTTTATTTTTCTATGTGATGGGGTAAGCGTCAAATTAAATGATTGTCTTTTTCATTGAACAACATCCCAAGTAATAAATTTATGGTTCAATACTTACAGGTATTATGAAGTGCGATGAAAAAGTAGACTGTGGTTGCTATGATTATGATACCAATGAAGTCCACCCAAAAGGAAAACGAATGAGCGCAAACATTACAAAGTCGTGCTGCGCTTGTATATGTATCCTGAAAATGTTTTAAACTGTGATCTGGAATTTTACTGGAAAAAATGAAATGTCACACTATCATTACAGATAAACTTAGAATGTAGAAGATATTTGGAATATGGAAACTTTAATTTTGATGAAAAATTCAGAGATGATGAGAGATTGTATAAACTAAAGAATTGCATGCGGAAATAACGGAAAATTATATATGATTTTTTTTTCTAATGACTTGAAAAAATCAATGATGTTATATTTCTTAAAGTATGATTATTGCCTTTTTCAAAACTTACGTATAATCGATTTATTACTATTTTGATATTCTACTATTTTTTCAGTTTTTTTCTATATATCGTTGATTACAATGCATTCCAGTTAAAACTGGCTACCATGAATGAATTATTCAATATTGAGAATGTGAAAAATCGTGAAACACATCAACTTTATTCTCAGAAGGTCACTTTTCTATGTGAAAATCAACTCCTCGTCAGCCACCAGCTTTGTTTTTGGCCGCTTGTTTCAAGTGAAACATTTGTTACGATATCGGAAATTGCAATAAAAATTTCAATATGAAGCGTTATTGCATAAGTACGTTGGATATATTGAAAATTAATTGGAACACGATTTTATTATCCATCATTTCTGTGAAAGGTCGATATGTTTTTTCGCAAAGTCAGTTCTTGGACTCTTTCTCAACTTGAGCAGTAAGGTCTAGTACTCTTATTATTGGTTTAGAATTTACAATTATGATTTGATATTGAATTGAATTCAAACTACTATATGATTTTCGTTTTATTGTAGTTTTCACTTTGATACCGAATGCTATTTTTGAAAATAAGATAAAACTGACGTCAGGACCATTCGGTCTACATTTGAACAAAGTTCTTATATCAAGTCAAAAATCAACTGTTTCAAAAAAGAAGAGTTCTTCAACTTCTATAAATGAGTCGTGGAGAGTGTTCCTAGGAATTCAATCTATGTTTCAAAAATTTTGGAGTTCTTCAACGTCTATAAATGAGTCGTGGAGAGTGTTCCTAGGAATTCAATCTCTAAAAACCATAGATTGTGTAGGAAATATGATCACGAATGGGACTTTTCAGGGCTCCGGTTCAATTTAGATGTAGGTTTTGTAGTTTAAATTACAGAGACTTAAAAGTGACTTCTCATCTGGCCTTCAAAATTGAAGATGAATTCTTCAACAGATGATTATCGGGGCTCTCGTTTATTGTACATGAATTGGTTTTGACTTGTTTGTGGTTTCCAAAAGTGGTGTCTTCTGAATGAAAGTCATCATGCTCACATCTTCGAATTTATGAAAATATATATAAATATTGAAAACAAAATTCACTGACCATCAATTTGTAAAATTGTGTTTTAAGCGTATGTTCCATCTCACTGGCTCTTATAGTTGTGATACCCATTAAAGAAGAGATGAAAAACGAAAATACTGGAGATTTAGCTGAAAGGTACAAAATTGTGTTATGTAATTTCAGTCAGAATTTCTCTTCCACTCACCCACTACCTCCAAGTGCTTCGTTTGTTTTCCAATCACAGAAATTAAATTCTGCAACTTCCAATACACGTATAGTACTACTATCATAAATGGAAACATGTACCAGTTCGTCGTAATGATAACTACTACAGTGGCCGTGGTAAAAAAGTATACCTGAAAATATTGAGATCAGAAATGATTCAGTTTACAACAGCAGCCAGCTGAGTATCTAAGAGATTCTAGTTATGTATTTCCTACCTGGTTATTCTGTCAAATTTTCATCCGACTAGAGGTCGTAATTTGTACTACATAAGGTAGATATGACAAAACTACTGCTTTTGCTATAAACACTTCTAGTTTTTAAAAAGAATAACTCCGCTGATAGCTGACACTTTTGATACAGTTCATAAATGGTTATAACAAAATCATCTCAAACTTATTTCACAAACAATGGTACACAGATAGCCCAAACCTTCTCAGAATATTTTTTCGGGATCTGAAGTTAGAGAATCGAATTATTCTAGAATATTCTCAATATTCCATGAAATATTTCAGTAATATGAGGAGAAAGATAGGATCAATTTTGCGTTGATGTAACATAAGCAATATTGGTTCAATGAACAAAATTTCAAACGTTTTATCTTTGTCACCTTTTTGCAATATGGGTAAAAATTTTCTGATTTGAAGGTTTGATATCGTTTTTGTACAGGATTACTTTTTGAACAGTTTTAGTACTACATCAGTTTCATTCATTCTTTCATTCGGTGTATCACCACTGATTGGATGAAATTCGAAAAAAAAATCTGGGAGCTTTACGTTCTTGTGTCAAGTTTGTCTCTCAAAAAATAAACAGCAGGTACACAACCTTCGACTCACGAAACGAAATAAATTATTACGGTACGAAACTTCAGAGGGTGATTCGTTAGGTCATTTTGAGGAAAAAAGTTTCCATGAACATTGTTTCAGAGATACAGGGCGATACAGTTAAATAAACGGTATTTATAAAATATCATAAATATCCTTACACCAATTTGATTGAAATTTGCTACAGTTATTTGAAATAATAAGGTGCTAATTTAGCCCGAACTAATTGGAATTGTTAGGTCCAGTGGCGTCCCAGTGGGCACCACAGCCAACAATATTGGGAAAAAAATCGCCACTGACTTTTTCATAGTTTTTATTTATTTTTTCAATTGAGCAACTGAAAATACAACTATTTCCTCGCCTGTGTTTCCTTTATATCAAGCTTTGTTTTCGAGAAAAAAATCACTTCTAATTATTATCCACGGACAACATAAAATGAAAACCAGAAGTAAATAATAAACAGTTTTGACCTTAAAGTGAATGAGCAAAATGTTTATTTTCTGATGAAATACTTGACTGAAATCGATTTGTTATTGATTGTCTGTTAAATGGAAGAACAGTTCAGTTGTTGAATTTATTCAGGAAGTGAACTGAACTTTGCCCTTTATTTTCAAAAATTTTCTGTTGGTGTATTTTTTTAATCTTGTTTTTTTATATATTTTTTGGAAATAATAAAGACTTATTATTATTATCATTATTATTCCTTATGGCATGACAATTGTCAATTATTCTATTCCTCAAGTCATTCACATCTACTATGGCAGTTTTATAAATGAAAACCTTCAGATGATCCATATATAAAAATCTAGAGTATTCATATCAGGACGTCGAACTGGCCAATTTTGAGGTCCTTCACGTCTAATCCAGTGATTAGGATAGGTGATGTCGAGTGTCCAGTGCTAATTGTTGCTGAAAATTAGTTTTTCTGATAACGTGGGGATCTACGTCGGCCCAAAAATGGTCATTGTGAAAGTTCATAATAACATCTTGTGAAATATTCGCTTCATCCGTGAATGAAATATTTGGTAAAAAAATTGTTATGTGTCCCGAGGCAGTAGAGCCTCGGTTTTTGAGCTGACTTTCAGCTGAAGTGCAATTTTTCTGGTACTATTTGAAAGATCTTCTTTTATCGTATCAAATATAGCTTCGTCTAGTTCGGACGTTGTTCCAGCACCTGAATTTTGATTAAAACTCCTAGTTTGACAATCTTGTACGTAGCGTTCTAAACGTTTCAGCACATGGAATTACACATGAAATCACTGCTAATTGACATCTCTGACTTTCACTGATATGACAACACTATCACTGTCAGCTAGTATCTAAAGCAGGTATTCATGATATGCAAAGTGGCTTAAATTTTTTTCTTGAAAGCAAAGCTAAATATGAGGAAAACACAAGCGAAGAAAAAGTTGTATTTATAGTTGATCGATTGAAAAAAATAAAAAACTACAACAAGTCAGTGGCGTAATTTTTTTCCTAATATTGTTGGCTGTGGTGCCCACTGAGACTCCACTGGATCCAATAATTTCAATATAGTTAGGGCTGAGTAAGCGTCTTATCAGTTTAAATAACTATAGCAAATTTCAATCTAATCGTTGTAAGGACATTTACTATATTTTATAAATATCGTTTTTTTTTACTTCAACGACCTGTATCCCAGAAACAAAGTAACTCTGGACATATGCTCATGAGAAGTTTTCTTCAAAACGACCTAACGTATCACCCTTTGAAATTTCGTACCGTAGTTAAGAAACACCCTGTGCGCGTTGAAAACGCACATCCTGTGGTGAAGTACAGCTTTTGGATGACACTCAAAATCATCATATATGTAAACTCAGTTAATTTCCTCTACATTGTTTCTTCATTCATTGTGTCACCACGATTCGTTTCAAATTTGTAAATTATTAAAGGAAGCCCACAGCATTGACACAGAATAATCAAAAGAATTGTTGTTGCCGATACTATGCATGAATTTACACTGAAAATCAAATTAAAAAAAGCATTCTTTACGGCAATTAAGATTCAAAATGAATATTTTTCAATTCATTGATAAGTAACGTGTTGGATTGAATGTAATTCATTCTCTTTCATGAAGTTGCCGTAATTTTGTTATGTTGATATTGATATTTTAATGAAATTCTGGTTACAGCTACTTGCAAGCTATTTGAATCCAGTGGCATAGTGAATTTTTAAAAGAAAAAATAGCGAATGAAAATTCGACATTTTTGCACATTGTACCACAACCATGTGGTACGGTAGTTCGACCTCACAGCTGGACAATCGATTTTCTTTGCCTAACGTCCAAATCGTGCTAGTAATCACACGTTAAAAGGTAAGATTTCATCAATTTAAAGCTAGCACGAGTTTCGACGTTAACCGAAAAATAGATTTCGAACAGACACTTTTTTACTTGACAATTAACAAAAAGAGAGGTTACAATTGGTTAATTAATTGGAATTTTAAGTGGGTTTTTTTCAATCTGAGTAGAACACTCTGTATGAAAGATTGATTAAATGTAAATCTACTGCGATGAACTCTTTGTTATTATTTTATTTTTAATTGTATTAGGTCACAACATTTTTACCTCGCAAACACTTTTCACTGATTCCGGGAACGATTCGTCAATGGTTCCCATATCTGAGGAAAACCTATTTAATATTCTTCCGCTAGGATACATATTGAAAAAAGACATCGGAACCTTCAATAGATTGTGGAACATATTTTCGTGTAATTTCTTCGAAGCAGCTACAAAAAATTTGATTATCCTGTGATTACAATATACTGTCACAAAAATGATTGCAAACATGAGGCCACTATAAATGATCACTCCTTCTTTGGATTCGGCTGATATCCTCCTAGAAACGTTTGGGACTATTCCATATTCATAAAGTGATATATTTTGGGTAGTGTTTATTGTTACTAATACTGTTTCTTCGACGCCACTGGAATATTCTTTTCGGCACCTACAAAATAGATCGAATGAATATCTGATAAAATATATGAATTTTATATGTTGTTTATTGACCTTCTCTATTCATACCCAGGGTGACATGTATCAATGCCAATGCTGATTTGCTGAATCGACATCCGGCGATACGCAGTTCTTACAACGACGACACAAATACTCCCTATTTTCCTTTTTACACGCTTTATATTAGCTTCACCTGTATGTATGTATGTATGTTTTTTAGTTTGCAACTCTCAAGCTTGGGATATGTATTTAACAGAATCATCGACATTATTGCTTGATCTATTTGCGGGCAGATGACGCTGTACGTAACCTCCTTGATATAGTTCGAACTCAATTTACATGTATTTCTTCATTTGAAAAAAGGATTTTTTTTCATTAACACTTGCGCCTGCTGCCTTACTTGGGCTAGGTAGCTGATTTTCAGGCTGCCTCTCCGGAATCGGAAAATATCAATGGTCATTTTTCTGAACATTACACGGCTGATTGATCCCAAAGTTTAGGAAAAAAATATAGTTTCAAAAGACTGAAAAACATTGATAGCATACCAAACTGAAAAATAAAAAATAAATATAGTTTAATAAACTGAAAAACATGCTTTTAAAGAACACCGAACTAAAAAGGTATTTTTTAAAAAAATAAGCTTAAAACAATAACGAACGAAAAAACTAGTATTATTGTGAAAAAAGCGTGGGCGCTTTGTGCCATATTTTTTATATATTGTTACGTTTTCCCCCGTGGGTTGAACAATAATTGCCTACACTGAATAATCAAACTTAACTTTATTTTACTTTGAAAACAACAAACACTTCAACTAAAAATTTCAACTAAACAAGTTTGTTATTTTTGTATTCGAATTACCTCATATTATTGTGTATTCTGTTACTCAAGGGAACACAGTACTGTTTCCTTTTTTCAAAATGAATAATTATTTAGAAACTTTCATTTCAGAAGTGAGATACAACATGGATCAGATGTGTTACATTATCATGCATTCTCATTGGTCTTAGTGTTATAATTTGAAGTTAGTCTTTAAAAATTAAAACAAACGTTTGCAAGTGAACTTGCTGTAACGGATTGAATGAATGAGCTTAAGTGATCTTGAACAGTAAACAGAAAGCATCGTTGTTTGTTGTTTCTGGAGATGTATTACACATGAAGACTTTTCTAGAAAATAAAAGCGGTCTGTTGAATTTTGAAGTTTTTATGAAATATTCGAGTACAAGTACAAGTAGGAGGTTCTTTGTCTTATCTAATGAAGTTGTTGAATAATACATTTTAACACATAGGCGTAACACTGTCATTTGAAGGAAATTAGGAGTAATAGATGAGTCGCAAGATGACGCCAAGGAATCGCTGGATGGCAAGCGAATATGTTGTGTTTAGAGCGCAGTTCTGGTTATTCCTGAATTGATTGTATATCACATCTACTCATACTTGAAATTCTTTTTTAGCAATTTCTAGAACCAAGGGTACATCGTCTTCAAAAGCCGGGGAATGTATGATATAAAGTACTCTCTTTATGACTGTAGATTTTCGAAGAACGTACCACATGAAGATTGGGAAGACTTCATTATCCAAGTGACTTCATCATGAATGAAAAATGCACTAGATTCTATGAAAAACGAATAAAAAAAAATTTCCACCAACGTAAACGTGATCGAATATATGCGAAACGACATACGCTTGAAATACTTGTCCTGATCGAAATACCAGAGAATGGGACAACCCATCGTATTGAATGTGTTTGCAATATATTCAAAAATTGCCTTGTTTCAATATCGAAAGCTGACATCGATCATTTTAACCAAATCGACCACAACGAAAAACCTTATAGTGAGTGGGTTCGTGAAAATTTGTGAGCTCTTCTTGAAAACGAGATCCCTTTCCCAAAAACGGTTGGTCTCACAGAAAAACATGGTACGCAAACTTATTTCAACGAAAAGTGACTCAATGTGTCCTGATATAACTTACATGTGTTACGCGGCTGGAGAAATTTATGAATACAGAATTCTATCGTTATTTCCATTATATCATCACATTTCAAAAACATCAAAAGACTTATTCCTTCTTGCACCTGATAGACATCTTTGCGATGAACGAGACATCTCTGAACGCAAACATCTATACAGAATCAACAAAATTCCCGATATGCTTTGGATAGATCAAGCTCATTCTACTGGGGAAGGTGGATGTTTTTTCATTAAATCTCACCTGAAGTACTCGATCATATCATCTGATGAAAATATTGAATAGCTATAGATAAAACTTTTTGAAATAAATAAATATATAAACTTGATACAGGGTCCTTCATCAAGCACTTCCTTTCTTTAAATTAAGACAAAACAAAGTGTATGTGAGATAAAGTGCTCGCCGTTGGGCCTGATCAACATCGTTCTTGAAGAAATATGGACCATTGACGCCGCCAGCCCAAAATCCACACCAAACAGTGACTTTTTCGGAATGCATGGAACGCTCTTGGATCTCATGTTGACTGGTATCGATCCAAATTCGACAATTTTGTTTGTTTACGTAACCATCCATCCAGAAATAGGCATCATCACTGAAGATGATTTTTCTATAAAATTAAGGGTCAGTTGCCAACTGCTCCAGAGCCCTTTCAGCGAACACACGTCGTCTATGGTCGTTTACGTTCAGTTCTCGAGTAAGTTGAATTTTATACGGGTTTAAGCTCAAGTATTGACACAAAATTCGCCAAGTTGTGATCTGTGAAAGGATGTGTTATTGTGAACGACGCGAAATCTACTGCCTTGGATTCTCCTGCACACTCTCACAGACACAGACATACAGACACCGGATCAGTAATATTACTGTCCCAAGGCGATGTGTAAGATCTTAAAATCGAGGACATTATCAGAGACTGGGACAAGGGTAAATGTACGTTGCTAATTTTATCAGATTATTCAGATGCGTTTGACACACTCAACCACGAGCTATTGTTATCAATACTCAACTATAGTGGAAAGCACTTACACTTTTGATACTTGAGTGACGAATTACGACAGTTAGTATCCCCTGTTTGTCCAGTCATTTTAGGTCGATTTAGTCCTGTATTTCGGAAAGTTGACATACCCAGCTGTACATTTGTATAAACTTTGTATTTTGGCATCATGAAAGTATTCTCAAAATTCACATATGATTCGACGCCCCCAACTTCAAAAATTGGGGGTCCAAAGTCAAAAAATCCGACTATTTGCACGTTTTTTGCCAATATCTCGTTTCCAATGGGTTTTATGCTAATTGTATTTCATCATCAATATTGTAGTGAATTAAATTCTCTACAACTTTTGTTTCGAAAATTTTTTCATACGTTGAATCGTTTTTGAGATAGAGGGCAGCGCGAGCGCAGATTGAATATTGTTTGAAATCAACTGGTTGTCCCGATCGAAATCAGCTCATTTGAGGTTTATAAATTATTACTTAATAGATAATTATAAATAATTTTAATTTTTTATTAACAAATAAATCAACACTAAGCAGGCCAGAGATGATGCGGATGTTCTCATTATTGAGACAGCTATTGAAGAATCTAAGCGTCAAAGAACAGCAATTATAGTCGGTGAAGATATTGATTTACTTGTGATTTTAATTGTGCGTACACTATCTCTTGAACAAGAAATTTCCTTTAAAAAAGTTGAAAATGCAAATGTGAAAACGGAAATATACTCCTCTAAGAGTTTCGACAAATATTCAAGTTCTAGAAAACACATTTTGTTCCTTCACGCTTTAAGCGGCTGTGATACGACTTCTGCGCTCTTTAAAAGAGGGAAAAAAACGTTTTTAAGAACATTCGAGAAACTGCTCAGAAAACTGCTCGGTTCAAAGATTATTTGATAGTGGATTGCAAACTTCATTGGCTGTTTATAATGCTCCAAAGTCTGTAGATACTATCCATCATCTTCGTTATGCAAAATACGTCAAGCTAACAAAGCTCAATAAACCTGTGCAGTTATCAAATATCCCACCAACAAGTGGAGCAGCTTACCAATTTCAAACTTTGTTAGGACATGATTTGGAATCCCAGGAATGGGGTTGGACAATGCGTAATGGATTGCAAGAACCTATCACGACCATTTTACCACCTGCTTCAGATGAGTTACTTAATACGATATTCTGTAACTGCAGAAGTGGTTGTGGTTCAAGATGTGGATGCAGGAAAGCGGGGTTGCAATGCTCTTTAGCTTGTGACCAGTCTAATGGGCAAATTTGTCTCAATGCTGTACCATATGAGACCGATGTTAACGATCCAGAAATCATGGAAGAATTGGAAACGAATCTGGGTGGAGATGACAATGAAGATTATAACGCCCTTGAATTTTTACAGCTGCGAGAAGACAACGACGATGAAGAAGAAAATTGAAATTGAAACTCATTATTCTTTCAATTATTTTATCTGTTCTTTTAATTTTGCTATTCACAAATGTATCAAATGAGATTTTTCAATAAAAATATTATTTAAAATTTTATTTCTTTCCTATTCATATTTATTTATAAGAATAATTACTATAGATTAGATTTAAATTGTAATGTAATATATATTTTTCCCTCTACAAATTCATAACTACACGGGCAGGTAAGTGTTATTAAATAAATTGATACTTAATTGAAAATAAATAATTATTGAAAAAAATATTTAAATCTAATGTTTTTGTTAATAAAAAATGAAAATTATTCATAATTATTCATCAAGTAATAATTTATAAACCTCAAATGAGCTGATTTCGATCGGGACAACCAGTTGATTTCAAATAATATTCAATCTGCGCTCGCACTGCCCTCCCTCTATCTCAAAACCGATTCAACGTATGAGAACAAATTTTCGAAACAAAAGTTGTAGAGAATTTAATTCTCTAAAATATTGATAGAGAATACAATTAGCATAAAAGCCATTGGAAACGAGATATTGGCAAAAAACGTGCAGAGAGTCGGTTTTTTGAATTCTGACCCCCAATTTTTGAAGTTGCGGCCGTCGAATCATATGTGAATTTTGAGAATACTTTTATGATGCCAAAATACAAAGTTTATATGAATTTTCAACTGGGTATGTGCACTTAGGCAAACCCCCTAAAATGACTGGAATATGTGAAATTTTACTTGAATAAGCTCTTTGAATATTCCAAAAATTATTGACTATACTTGAATATGGCGAACACTAACATATGGTTTTCCATAAACAAGCTGTCGCACCCTTGCCAACGACAACCATTTGAAGTTGAAATTCGTGCGATACACGAATTGACAAGGTCTTACCCTCTGAAGTGCGATTCCTAGCATGAGTTGGACGATAGGCAAATAAAATAGATCATCCTGCTTCGCGGCTTGAACCACCGTTTCACCTGACGGTCGACTGAATGAGTGGACGAAATCAACAACGCGAACCTAAGCAGCTACCGTTCCACTACGGTATTATTAAAGATTTTCATTATCATTGTGGTCTGAAAAAAAGAAGATTGAGGTGGGGTCAGAAGATATCAATTTCTCACATTCAATGAACTGACAATTTTAAGTAAAAGAAAAGTAAAGAAAGTAGGAACTGGAATATCGAGATATAAAAAAGTCCAACAGAATTTTGTTGAACGTTCAGATTAAATTTTAAATTTCGTGAATGGGGAAAAGGATGAGCTGCTGCTAAGCATCTTTCACGAAAATAATTGGATCATGGCATTCCAAAATGAAATAAATAAGTGCAGCTAGATGCAGATTTTCGGCAATTCAGTAGAATGAGTAGAAAATTTGTTCAATAATTTTAAAGAATGGGGCATACGAGAGGTTGAAGAGGGAAGTGAATGAAGAGACCATGGAAGATTCGAATGAAAAATTCCATAACTAGTTCAATAATTTGAAAGAACTCGAGCACACCCACTTGATATGCTAATGGTTTCTTCTTTGGCAGAGTACTCGTACACTGGTTCAGACGACGACATTCTTATTGGCATCAGTAATCATGATTGTGAAGCTTTTTGTTAGCATAGGCTAGCCAACTTTGGAGCAGATGTCAGCAACCGTAAGATACCTGATAGAACAAAGACAAAATCTAAAATATGAAAATTGGAATAGAAAAATTCATACTAATGTAGAAAGGAAAAACTTCTCGACTTCCCAGAAAGATTCTGAGAAAAAACTGTTTTCCCTCACATGACATTACTTCTCTTCAACATTGACAAACTGATCAGAAAATCGGAAAACAATATCCAAAACATAAAAAGGAAAATAAAAAACTTGGTTTTTGTCTTCAAAGTCTATAACCAATAATTATGAAGTCTATTAATAATTTAGGTTCCTATTCATTGAAAATCATTGGCTTGTATCCATTAACTGAAGCCTCATAGAGAAGATTTTTTCAAAGCTCTGAAGCACTATATGACAATAAATGATCACGGAGGGCTCAGCTTTCTGATTGTTTCAAACTATGCAGCAGAGTACCTTGATTTCATTGAGCTAATATATACTCTTTGTATTATTGTACAGTGATATCTTATAAAACCGCCTTGCACCAAATTCTTGAGCGGCGTACGTAGAATCTGTCTCAGGTGGAGGAACAAACTCCTATGAACAGGTAAGCAAACGTTTGCGCTCAAGTGATAATTCACCAAAACCAGAGTCGAAAAAGCCCTGCACGGTTGAATCTAAGGCATCGTCAAGTTGTCACGGGTACCAAGGAGTAAATCTTGCACTTTGAGTATCCGAGTATCCTGCCCCACTGTGGACCGAATCAGGTTTTTAAAGTTCGGCAGAGCCGAACTCTAATCATCTGACCTGAAAGACCACTCACCATATAAACTAATCGGCTTCGTTGAGGAGCTGGGATTATTGGGTAGAGTGTGAATAGGTGTGAGCCACAATAAACCCTTACGGGTTGCGATGGGAGGTCGAATAGACCCACTCACTTTGGACCTAACCTAATCTAATAGTGATACCGTTTACATTTTCAGTAACAGCTCCATATCTTTTTAACGTAGATTATGGAAAAATGGCCAATAAAATTTTGAATAATGTAACCTGTACATTTTCAGACTGTAATATATCTGCATCTGCATATTTGAATTCTGCATCGCTTGATTCATAAAGCGTTTTGGACTTCTGGAAAAAAGTTATCGTTTGTGATTTATATTTTGTGTTCTGCTATTTGGAATAAATCTTATTTCAAATTGAAAGTTCCAAATGGAACATCTGTTGTAGAATATATCAAAAACATCCCTTCCTTCAAAACACCAAAATCGCAACTTTCTGGAGGAGAAAGTCTACTTCCGTTCCTGAAGACGCCATCTCGGTTGATGAAAGCGCCTTGGGAAGGGTGTTTGGTTGAAGTGTTTGTTTTGGATTTATATAAAATGATTCATCTATTATCAACTGATCACAATGTGTCTTATCTCAAATACTAGTGGGTAATTTTATTCGTTATTATTGGTAAAAATAGCGCTTCCCTGAAATGGATGGTATCAATTCGTCATTTCACCTCTCCATAGTTCATCAAATTTTGATTAGTTTGAGATTTCAACAGTTTCGATTTGATATTGATGATGCCATTTGAAATGTTCTATTCAAATAAAAAAAAAATTACTCACCGTTACGCTCTCGCAAGACAATTTCCAACTTGTAAGAAATTTTATTTACACCTCCCATGTGATCTATTTCATTCTTACACGTGTCCAATTGTTTTGTGATCCGAATGATTTTTCTTATACATGTGATTCATTTTATATATAAAAGTCTCGGATGTTCTTATGATTGTTATAATGGTTATTTTAATCTATTTTATTTATACCACATATGATTAATTTTATATCTACTTACACGTCTACAAAGTTTTTGAATGTTCTGTATATATTTATTTCACCCTTTTGTTAACTTTATACTCATTATTAATTTTAGTATTTGAAGTTATAAAAATTTATATACACCACGCACAAGCAACACCTGTTGCTTCTGTGGGTTTCCCAATGTTTATTTGCAAAATGTATAGCCTTATTATGGTTGCTGTTTTTCTTTTGTGTAAATAAACGATGATGATGATGAATATAGAGAACAATTTTGTTTTCAAGAAATTATTTCCATTGATTGTCTTACCACAAAGCAAGCCAGTAGTCAGAAAATGTATAGAGTGAGTACACAACTGTGAACAAAAATAAATTAAATATTAAGCTCCAAAAACTTCCACTCGACTTCAAGTACTCCAGAATAGCATTATTATTTCTTGGTGTGTCCTCTTCGGATAAATCTTGAAACTTCTTGCCAGTTTCAAAAACAATTTTATCCTGAAAAATATTGTACAAGTAGTAGATTCAAATCAAAATGTAACTATAATCTTGTACATTATCTTTCAGTATTAATTCTTTTTTGTTGTGTTCATTCAATTCACTTTGTGTATCTACTTCACTCAATACAATGTCTCTGTTTCTTTCTGCCGTCAATTCTTTCAAGCTTCCGTAAGCTCTCCCTACACCCTGAAACAACAGTCATTTGTAAATTTTTCTGTTTATGATATTTCATGTTATAAACAAACCAGAACATACAAGAACTTAACATACCTTATCAATGAAAATAATCAAATCAGCTTTTTCTAGGTAATGGAGCTGATGAGTTACTATTAACCTTGTTTTTCCTTTGAGATAAGTCAAAATGCAACGATCGAAGAGATGTCGCCCTACTTCAGTATCTACTGCAGACAAAGGGTCATCTAGTAGATAAATGTCGGAATCCCTGTAGATGGCCCTGGCCAAATTGATGCGAGCTTTCTGACCTCCACTCAATATGACTCCTCTTTCCCCCACCAGGCTGAAGTCGCCATTGGGGAAACGTTCGAAATCGACTTCCAAGTTACATGCATTTATAACGTTTTTGTATTTCAAATCATGATACTCTTGACCAAACAGAATATTTTCTCGAACTGTTGAACTGAACAACCAGGTTTCCTGGGAGCTGTAAGCTATTGAACCACCCACCATAATTTGACCAGACTTTGGGAATAATTCTCTGAGTAATAAGTGTAGAACTGAAGATTTGCCTGATCCTACTTGCCCAACTATAGCACACAAAGTACCAGGGGCGATATCTATTCCATCTAAACGTAGCTGAAACTCACTGTCTGGAGAATATGCTGCTGTAACGTTATTAAATAAAATTCTCCCAACTTCGTGACCTTCTTCGTTTTTCCTTGAAACTTCTTCTAGCAGCAATAACTCATTAACTCGATCGAATGTGACTAAAGACTCCAGTGTTACTGCTACTCCTCGAGGAAACCAAACAAGAAACACATTACGCAAGACCGACATGTATTGAAAACAGGAAAATACTGCATCGGATGTAATTGTTTTGTTGATAAAAAATATCGAAATTATCGATAGATATGAACTAATTTTCTGTATCGTTTTATTGTAGAAAAAAACTTGCCAGGTAAGGTATTTCATTATTTGCTCCAACTCTGATTCTCTGGCCAATTCAACAAGTTTTTCGAAAGGTTTTTCCCATGCGTACAATTTTATGACCTTTATTCCAGATATAATCTCATTCATGAGCTTCACCCTAGTGTCTACTGCTTTGGCGACTTTCCGGCGAAACGTCGAGGAAAGTTTTCCCATAATTACTGAAAAACAATGATCACATCAAATCGTAGGTCTGTACAAATGCAGTTTCAAACTTTTTCAACTCAAGGTTAAAATCATGACAAAAATAAGGATTACCTACTTCCAACCCTCTGTAAAAGAAATGGAAACCAATATGAATATACCATTACGCAGAATAGTATATCCCGTGATACATTTCAGGAACCATTCCGATTTTTTGTGGTCAGTCTGATCTCAAATGTTTAGATAAAAAACTATCAACTAGTAGCGTCTTAAGCTCACAACCCTTGAGACGCCACAACCGACGCTTGAGACGCCACAACCGATTGGTCACACTAAGGCTAATGTTGTGATATGATTCAATATGGATTTTCAACAAGTATCGGTTACTTTTATTCAATTTCTCGTTATTGACGGAGAGCAAAACACACAAATGTGAGTAAACAAACATGAATAAGTGTAACGATTGAATTATAACTGTGAAGATATTAGTATGAAATCTATGAAAATTCTCATACTGAGCATAAACGATAATTTTACGAGAGCTTCAATTGATAATTTACTCATTACTAATGGTACAGATCTGTTGAAGACATGACTGGGAGACTTGTTTTTCAATTCAGAGAATTTAAGAGAATTGTCTCGTTGCCTCATTGTCTCATTGGAAAACTCTTTTGAAAATCTTGAAAAAGATCTCATAGAAGTTTAGCCTTCCGAATGAGAAGTGAAAAATTTGAGAATATGAAGTTTGGGTTGAACCGCGTCTAGAGCCTTCAGTTTTCGACGTTTTGGCTACTACTGGGAAGCCATTTTTAAGAAAGTATAATTACTCTGAAGTTTCAATATGTCTACTCCTTAGGTAGTGACACACCCTTGAATTTTGTAAGTTGACATCAAGTTCTGAATCTGTTTACCCACTAAGTCTCGTTACTAGTCTGCGAATGGGTTTCAATTTGCTCACTCCCAAGCGACGACTGTGAGTCGATGCCACTTCGTCGCGTTGTCAATGCGTTCGGATCTTTTAGACACGCCCTTTCATAACAATCTGCAAATACTTTCGAAGCACTAGTGCGAAATCTTTGAACATCTAACAAACATACATTTTTGTCTGCCTTGTCGTTGTTACCTTTTTCACGAATATTCTACTCTCCGAAACCTCATCCGTCTCCAAAACGAATCACCAAATTTCCCAAGATACTCTTAGCCTCATCAGTCACTGCATATCCAGCACTTAGCCAAAATTTATCAACAAAAGGACGGCGCCGTTATGGATTCCTCACTATTTTCAATCCTTACAAACTTTTACATGAAAGACTTTGGAATCAGACCCATTGACATGACCCATGAATCTTACGTGTTGACTTCGATATGTAGATAACGTCTTTATTATATGGTTTCATGGATCTGAAAGTCTCCATACATTCCTAAACCATATCATATCCTTACATTTCTACCTGAATTTCACAACGGAAGTTGAAAATGATAACTCACTTCCATTATTGGACGTTCTCATCACAACATCCAACAATTTATTCTCACACACTATTTATCGAAAACCAACCTATACCAATCGCTACGTCAATGCTAAGTTCCAGCATCTTCCTGCCTAGTAGAATTTCGTTTTGAATTCTCTTATACACAGGTCTATCAAACTTACTGACAGCCACAATAGATCTAGGAAGTGAACTAAGTAAAATCGTCCTTCACCAAAACGACTATTTCTAAACGCAAATCCAAAGATTCATCCAACTTCAGCAAACCCAAACCTCACATCCTAAATAGAACCAGAAGATTGTTTTCCTTATAATCGTGAGACACGGGAAATATATAAAATACCATATTTCACCTGCTACAGTACTTATATCGGCCGATAGAAGAGTTTCCAACATTCTTCGTGAATCCGCCTCAACAAACAGGATGAGATCATTACCAGATCTGGGGAGTAGTCACAAAAAAACACTTGAATCGTGTCACTACCTGAAGACTAGGCAGATTGAGACCTTTCAAATGGCTTAGTCTCATGGTTTGAGGTTACCTAGCTCATGTGCTAAGAGTTTTATCTCAGACCAATGCCGAAAAAATTTGGGATTAAAATCAGCTGCTTTCAATATAAACCACCGAGTGCTGATATAAATATGATATTGCTCTAGTAATTTTCATAGTGGGGTGCTACCTAGAATTCCATTAAAAATAATCAATATATTAGAAGTTCTGAAAAAATATAATTTGAATTTTTGAATTTCTACATCCGGTGCATTGTCAAAATGTTTCAGAATCTTCTGTATCGAACTAAATACCGTTTTCGTTAATACCTGGTTTGAATTTCCGAAATACTTGGAATCTTATAAGAAGCTCAAATTATAAATACTATTTCAAATACCACAAATTCGGCAGTTGTTACCCGCAAAAACATTTTTGAGCTGCAGCGGCATCTTCAATGCGAAACAATTTGAATTGACTCTCATATCAATTTACAGTCAACATCTGTCAACCCACTAGCGATTTCAGAATTGGAATAGTTTTCTATACTCTCTCCATGCAACAAACAAAACCATAGAAACGTGGGTAAACGCAGGCAACAATAAGTCCGACTTGAAGAATCCTTCAGGCAAGAATCACCTTATTATGTTCTCAACAAACAGCGATTGTTTGTGAATAAGGTAACTTGTTATTGTTAAGTGATGTTACTCGTATAAAAAAACGCTTGCCTTGTTTCAACTGAGATGAAATTAATCCCTTTTCAGTAGAAGGAATAAGGTTGATACTATGTCACATTGGTAGCGAAACCGGTTTCGTCCCCGACGCCTTGTGGGTCTTTGAGTCGAAGAAAACCGGCGACCATCATAAGAAAATGGATGGCATATCTATTGAGAATTGGTTTACGAACATACTTCCGAAAGTAGAAGAGAATTGTGTAATTGTTTCAGGCAACGCTCCATACCATAAAAGCTGAAAAAAATTCTACTTCAGCTACGAAGAAAGCTGTAATTCAAGACTGGATGCACTTGAAGAGTTTAACATTCGAGAATAACATGGTGAAAGCAGAACTTTTGAGGGTAGTGAATGAACATAAAAACCGAATATAATGAATACCTTGTTGACGAAATTGCTAAAGCACATAATAGAATAACATTACATCTCACACCTCACCACTGTGAGCTCAACCCAATGGAGCTTATTTGGGCGGACTTGGAAATATTTTAAGTGAAGCTTTTTGATCTATCATCGCTGAGAAATGGAATAATTGCGTAGGGCATGAGAAAGATAAAGTAGAAATGGAAATGTTAGGATAAGATCCTCTGATAGATGATTCAGTTGACAGAAATCCGTTGATGAATAATCTCAATGATGATTCTTCTAGTAGCAGTTCTTCAACATCTGAGTAATCGGTCTAAAATGACAAATACATTTATTGTTTTATCATTATTTTTTCAATTTATAGATTGAAACGCAATTTTGGAATCAAAAACTGTTTTTCCTGCTGAAATAAAATTATCCATTTTCTGTAGCACATTCAATGTTGTATTCTCAAATATAGTATTATTTGGTCAAATATATAGGCCTTGCAGAGGCCTAACATAAAACGTAATGCAAATATATCACATGAGCTGAACTTACTTTCAAATGGTAGAGCAAAAATGACAAGAAAGAGCATCCCTGTTATTGAAGGTAATCCAATAAACTGCCACATTGATAAGGTTATAACTAATAATTGTAGCGGGCCAATTACAAAGTATTGTAGACCAATCACCAGTTCAATGAATCGATTTAGATCATTTGACAGAATGTTGACTATTTTTCCTGCTGATATTTTCTCTAGGGAATTCATACTCATTCTCAGTACCTGTAATAAAATTTAATTTTCATTTTGACATATTCAGAGGTCTTTCTCAGGTCATAAGTATGACTTAATAACTTTTAATTATGATCAACATTCCAAAGAGTGGGTTTTGACCTCTTTATTGAGCATTTCAGGTTTTTTTTTGTACTTTGAGAGCTGTCTGACTTGTCCATTTAGTCCAAGTCTCCAGAAAACACTGCAGCCTCTTGGGCTTAGTGCGTTTATTCTCCCATCTTCTCATGACACCCATTCCATCAGTCTCGTTCCCTGTACTAGTTTGTACAGGTTCCGTGTTGGATGTTCGTCATATTATTCTGGGCGTAATTTTGTACGTCCATATATTGCCTGTCTCCTGTGATTCAGTGCCTCACATTCGCATAAGATGTGTAGAGCTGTTTCTATCCCTTCGTTACATAATCTGCAGCTGAGGTCTCCGTTGTACAGCCCCATTTTATTCAGGTGTCCTCTAAGCAGACAATGACCGGTTAGTAACCCCATAATTATTCTGAGCCGATTAAAGTAGTTGTTCGGTTATTTTCTCGGACGGTTCCCTAATGAAGGTACAACTGTGTTTGTTGCCAGGTACTTTTGTCCAGTACTCTGTGTGCTTCTTATTGGTCCATGTTCTAATCTGGTTTCGTACCAATGATTTTGGTACCCCCAGAGCTGGTTCAGGACCTATATATGAAGTTGATGATCCGCATCTAGCGCGTTCATCAGCTTTATCATTACTTGTGATTCCTGAATACCCTGGCACCCAGTACAAAGTTAATTGGTTCCTGTTTGCAAGTTCATTCAGTTCTTCATGGCATTCCCAGACCAGTTTTGATGTTACCTTCGGGTTTGTCAGAGCCCCTAGTGCGCCTTGTTGTCTGTAAAAATATTGATTCGCTCATTTCTTTGAGGTCTTAATTTAATAAGCCTAGCACACTGCAAGGTAGCATACACTTCCGCCTGAAAGACGGATGTGTATAGTCCTAGCGGATAGCTGTAGTTTAGATTTCTATCCGCTCGGTATATTCCAGCTCCCGTTCCATGTTTGGTCATTGATCCATTTGTATATCAGGTGTTTTTCCAAACATGTTTTCGGGATGACTAATGTCTTCCACTCTTCGTGGCTTATGATTTTGGCCGTGAAGTTTGTGTTAAAGTAGCAGTACTTCGGTGTCATGTGGTCCGTGCACAAATTCAATATGTGCTTCTCCACTTGTTCCGAAATTTTTGTTTGGTCCGATCTTTTGTAGTTCGGTGAGTTTTCCAGTCTGAATTGGCCCATCCTGGCCTCCCCCATTATCACAAAGTGTAAAGGAGGTAGATTCAGGAGTGTCTCCAATGCAGCTCTTGGGGTAGTTCTCATTGCTCCCATCATTCCCGAACATGCTAGTCTTGATGACCTGCTTCATTTCTGGCCACTAGACCAGAGATGCGTATGTTATCATGGGTTCAACCACCATCGTGGTTGAACCCATGATAACATGGGTTCAACCATGGTTTTAGCCCCCATGTTTTTCCATAGGTGCGTCTAGCGAGCATCAGTGCTACCTCCGCTTTCCTCTCTATCATGTCCAAGTGTTGGTTCCAGGTCAGTTTGGAATCTAGGATTACTCCCAGATATTCAACCTCCCCCGACACTTGTATTTCTTCACCTCAAAGTTTTAGAGGTCTGAGACCTCTAAAACTTCGTCCTCTTGGTGAATGCTACTATGGTCGATTTGGATGGACTTATGTGAAGCCCTTCTTCTCCGGCCCATCTTTTTATAATGTTCAGGGCCTGCTGCATGCATCCCTTCACTACATTATTGTATTTACCTTGGACTAAGATGACTTAGTCATCTGCATAGCCTTTATACCCATTATGGTCCAAGAGACATAGTAGCTCGTCCATAACAAGGTTCCATAACAGAGGGGATAGAACCCCTCCTCTGAGGACAGCCCCTTGCTACCCGTGCCACGACTGTTTTCCCCATAATGGTTGTATATACCAATTTTCCCCTAAGCATGCAGTCTATCCAGCTACAGCTTGTCTTGTCGATCCCTCTTCTCCTCGACGCCTGAATGATTGATTCTAATAACGTATTATCAAATGCGCCCTCAATGTCCAAAAAAGCAGCTGAAAGTACTTTCTTGTTTTTCTTAAGTATATTATACTTTTTCTGTTACCCGACATAGAGCCGTTTCTGTTGACATACCTGACCTGTATGCATATTGGTCTCGATGTAATGATCTGATAGCCAGTGATACGTCACTAATATGCCTATCAAGTAGTTTTTCTAGCGTTTTCAACGCAAACGACATGAGACTAATTGGTCTCACAGCCTTCGCCGAGTCCTGTCCGATTTTCCAAGGTTTCGGAATGAAGGTGGCGCTGATCAGTTTCCAAGTTTTTGGTATGTGTCACAGTGCTAAGCTTGCCCTGAGAATTATACACAATTTTTTGAAAAGTACTTCCGGTCCCTTTTGAAGCATTACTGGGTATATGCCATCAGGTCTCGGCGACTTATAGGGTTGAAATGAGTTTGCAGCCCATTTGACTTTCTCCATTTCTATCACCTTCTTTGTCATTTGCCAGTCCTGCCTGGATGCCCTTTTCGGGGTCTCCAGTTCTGAATTCGCCCAGGACTCCGGTGTTAGATTTGTAATTTCTGACCCGGGAAAGTGTACCCGGAAAAGCTCTCTATATAATTTACCTTAATATATATTAAGGACGATGTAGAAGCTCTCATCCTTATTGCCAGGCATGTCAGATTATAATTTGAAAATTGATGGAAAATGCATGATATAAAAGAAAATAGTATCAGTAGAGTTCCCAATATCCATTTGCCTATGGTACCGTCAGAGTCATCCACTATAAACTTCGCCGTTAATTTCTGCAACATAACGCAGGGTAGTATTCTGCAAACGAAAATTACATACATAAATTTACATTTTTGTGAGGTTAGTTTTCTATTCCGATGGAGAGAAAATTAAGAGGTTGTGTTTGATAAGTCTCTCTGAAAATGTAATATGAATGTGAACAGAGGCAGCGTAAGGCGTGGGCGGTATGGGTCACTGCTCACTCAGCCTTGCGATGGGAAGGGCATCATCGCACCTCAAAGCTGAACATTAGAGAGATATGAAAGAAGAAAATAGGAATGTGGTTCAGCAAAAAGGAAAAGGAAATTTTTGTTTCTTTGATTAAAGGAAAGTGAGTAAACAGCCGCAGTCTCAGTGACTTTGAATGAGGTCAGTGACCCCAGACAAGATGTTTTTTATTACTTTCTAGCCGGGTATTTTTAATTTTGTTGTATCAAAAAAGTACATAAGTAAAAATTTTAGCAAGTGATCAATAAAAATTGTTCAATTTCGAGTGTTTTTTTATTTTATCAACCCTTCTTGTACCATCAGTGGGCCTCACGAAATATACGTTGGTCAAAATATGATCAAAATATGAATGATGTATGCTGTGAAAATTAAAAAAATTTCAGATTCGATTGAAAATTTTACTAAAGGTCATTTTTCGTGGTGAATAGTTGAATTACGATTCCGACTCTTTTTTTGTTCTTTATGAAAGGTTTAATTGCATCAACTGTATAATTCTCTACTTTATGATTTTTCATTTAGGAAAAAACCTTCAAACCCACATTCGATCAGATACTTATCCCGCATGAAATTGATTTGAATGTGATTGTGTTAACCCTGATACGTTACATAGTTTAGTGACATATACAGGGGGAGGCGAAGGGGCAAAGGCCCCCTAGGGAACATATGAAAATTGGAAATAATAAATCAGTACTTTTTTTGTAACTTGATGAAACTTGAATGAATTTCAGTTCATCTTTCATTGACGACACCGTTCAGGCTATTTTCATGTGATGAATATGAATTGTCAAATTTGAAATTCTTCAAATTTGACACATCCTGAATATGTACTGACATGGCTGACTATACTGCGAATAGCCATGATACCCACTGTTGAGGTGGTTCGGAAAGTTATTAACATAGCTACCAAGAATATGAGAATAATGACTACAGCAGGCGATGTAGCCAAAACTAAATACCAAGTGAGATATCATCTACTACTCTTAACAAATTCTCTATGGACACTTGAAAAATATAAATTCATCTCAGCATTACTGGAATTATAAATAACTATCTCAGTATTCTCTTCGAATTTCACATTCACAATTATTATGCAGATTCATTTCTCTTTCGAACATCTCAAACAAGATTTCAGCGTACTTGAACCTCTGTCTCTATGTAGCAAACTTCTATCTCCTTTCGTATTTTTTCATCCAATTTTCTGAAATAACTTACTTGAGAAAAATCGAGTTAATGAGTATCAAAGCATAGAAAGGTAGTGCTCTTCTCAAGTATAATTTCCACATTACTTTTTGTAATCTTGGTTTGATTCCACTTATACTAGTAGTCTTCAGTTCTTCTTTCCAACACTGTTCTAACTCTCTCGTAAGATTCTCCGTTTTGTCGTCATCTACAACTTTGAATAGATCTCCCAATTTGAGGGGATTTTTGAGTCCTTTTCTGACCAACGGTATTGTCCATCTGAAAACAATAAATAATTTTGGAATGAACCACGTACTAACGAAAATAGTTTTAGAAAATTAGAAAACAATATTGCCACCAAAGTACGTCCTTTCGTTTCATTTGGTGGCGGCAATATTTTTGAGTTCCCGAGAAAAAGTAAATATCAGCTGAAATAAAATAATACAAAAAATCAACTTTTGAATTGAACCCCGTATGGGTTCTCGATGATCTACGAGAATATTTCGACCTAGAGGAAGGTTACTCAATATACATGTGAATTTGAATTCAGATCAAACTTGTAATGTAGTTTCACAGTTTTCAGTATTGGTTTATTTGAATGTAGATTAAAGCATTCAGGTCTGGCTCTTGTAAATTCATTCAAAGAATTTTTATATACATAAATGTAGATAGGTATTATCATTTCTTGTATGATTTTATTTATAGTTTTCAGTTTCATTGATATTTTATTGCTTTGATGTTTTAATCGCTCTGTATCTAACTTTTGCTTAGAATGATTTGGATATTTTCGGAAACCATGGAGAAGTCTTGACAGAATAGGGGAAGAGGGTGAAAAACAATATATAATGATAGGGCAAGAATTTGTGAGATATTAAGACGATTAGACGATATTCACGAATGAACATTAATAAGACGGTGCAATATTCAAGTCGAGCCGCGACCTGATTGCACAAAGACGAACATATTTCATGGCAAGCGAATATTGACGTTCAAGTTGGTTCATGAAATACATTTTTCGATCGATTACGAGGAGTTCTTGTTTGCAAACCCTAGACAATGAAAAACAAGCCTACATATATGTTAAATCAACTGAATTTGTTTTTTGTATGGAAATTCACCATAGGATCAACTTGTATGTGTACGTGATACGTACGTGGGTCTTTAAAATACATTACACTTTTATATATCATTGTAGCTACGCTGAAAGTTTTTATTTGGCTAGTAGACTGATGAGTCTAACTACTTGTCGAACTCTAGATTCCAACACTCATTTGGGTTCACTTCGAGTTCAAATATAAACGAATATTATTGAAACTCGCATGTATGAATTATGTTACATCCTTTGAAGCTGATGATGATGTATAGAGGTCTTTCTAGACTGTTTGTTATCTTCATGGCCCACATATCTGAGGTTGTATCACAAAGTGTGGGTAATCCATAAATATTCCACATACTATAAGCCATCTTCATTTGAGCATTATTACCACTTCAATTGATGCGGTCCAGTAGTTTTAGTTTCTGTTGGCCTTCCGGCACAATATGTCTGAACATCAATTCTATTTCACTAATTTCCATTCTGTATCGACTTCCCGAAGTAATAAATGTTTGAATGAACGTGCTATAATCAGAATGAACTGCTTTACATTCAATATTTCTTTATTATCTTCGGCAAAACCTCGAGATACTCCAAATGTGAATTACCGCTGAATACATGGCTGACGGAGTCCAATGTATCTTGTACATTCATATCAAGACCCCATTCTATCGCTAGTCGCGAATTTGCATGTGTTTTTCCCAATATCATTGTTTTCAGCTTGATGGTTATGCCGGGTTTCCGAACAACAGACACTTGCTCGCCATCCATTTCATAGCAACTTCCTTTGAGGATAAAGGAAAAGGCGTTATTGGAAAAATTGGATTGAGTGGTAATTCCAACAAAGTTTGGAATTGGTATAATTCATAGTGTGCGCATTCTCTTTTTTCCACCTGCGGCCTTCGTATATTTGCGTGCTGCCTTCAAAGCAATTTTGGCTGGCCTTTTTGAATTCTTGACAACTAATTAGCTTCCCTCTGACTTGTGTGGACTCTCACGCAGTTTTTTAACTATTCCAGAACCGAAAATCATTACCTTTGAGGCTTTCCATATTTTTTATTTTGTTTAAAAGTACGCCTCTTCGTCTGTATACGTGTTGTGGAAAATGACTCACACACCATACGAAATCGACGCTTCCCTTTCATTATATTTGTTATCAGCCAAGCAGCCCCTTCCTCACTGATAGAAGCATCTTTTGATGGGACGCCATAAAAATGTGGATTGCTATTATCTGGCCTTAACATATTTTCGAGTTCTGAAATAGTTAATCAAATATTGTACTTTTCAATCATGATGATGAACCTCAACCACATTTCTTCGACCATGTAACACCAGATATGACATACAAGCAATTCCAAGTTATATTACGAAATGTTAGCATGATAAATATGGATTTATAGTTATTGAGGATGACAGGGAAATGCAAAGTGGTCGTTATCGCGAAAGATTAGACAGACGCATTCATATATCCTTGACGTTCTTGAAGAAATTGAATCATTTGACTATTATGTAACGTAGATGACACTTTTGTCGTACATAGTCTTGAAGTGAATATATTTTGAAGAGAAAAAATGATGATGAAATACTTTTGGAAAGAAAGTTAATTGAAGCAATGGATGTACTTTAGAAAAAATCAATGATATCAAGAGTAGTCGCCTAAGTAATCAATCAGCATTTGAGAGAATCAATGAGCCAGTAATAACACTTTCGAGAGCAATATCAGCCAATACTGAAGGAGCATCTCGGATGATTTAGGTGATGCAGAAAACAAAGAGTGCTACACCTTTCGTGTTTTACTATACAGTAGCTTTCTCAGTCGTAAAATAATAAGTCACTTCTAAATTACAACTATCATATTACCTACTTGAATGCCCACTTTCTAATGAATGAATTCACCTGAAAAGGTTAGATATAAATTCATCAACTACATGAATAAATTAAATTTCCGTTTTTAAATTGGTTTATTTCCATGCTCTCTAATAGATTAAGTTTTTAACCGTTCTACTGGAAGTGGAGGACAAAAATAGCATTTCGCAGGAAAATAATTGTCTCCTTCTACGAAAAATTGAGAACATGTAGCAAAAAACAGCGAACGAGTTGGTTGAAGGTGAGAGAAGAAACGCACAACAGTCACAGTCCTGCAGTTAACAAACGAACATATCCAAGTATCATTGGACCAAACGGGATCAGTAATTCTGCCAGTAAGAACGCGTTGAGTTGATTTTTGATAGATGAACCCTTTAATGCTCTGAACATCAGTCAACATTATCAGATCATCAGAGAAAAATAATGACATTGCTTCAGGATCAGTGCTTAGTACAGCCTTGTACATTCTCTTTTATTTAAAGTACTGAATGGAACAGCCCTAAATAATGCCCGACAAGCTTACGTAAGAGAATGATACATTTCTTTGTGTTGGAAATATTTTAAGTGCATCTGTCTTAAACTGACATTGTTGTTAGATAAATGACAAAATGATTAGGGCTTTCGCGGTCAATGTTTTCAGTGATACTATTTTTCAGGTTCGAAGGTCGTGGATTTTTGGAATTTCTCCTTGATGGTTCGCTGGTGCGGGTGGCTGGCTTCTTCAGAGGTTTATACATGTCTTGGCTGAAGAAGCATGAGAGAAACTGCAGACTGGGTTGAACGGACAAGTCAGCTATGTCAGAACACGGACTTAGTGAAGAAAACCACAGAACTATGTTTGAAATCACAGAACTCATTGTCCCCATCCTTCGTTCTCAGCCTTTGTAGAGAGAGGGTATGTGTTTGGGAGCAGTTAGATTTGTTTTAAGAGCTATAGTAATGATGTGGTGATAGTGAAAAAGGACACGATAAATGAAAACTGACGTATGAACAATAATATTACCAAGTTTTTGAAATAGACAATTTGAAAAAGTTGTGATAAGCAATGAAGCAGTGCTACGTGCTTTTTGTTCGGTTAGAATATTCATCGAATAAATAGTGCATTTAAAACAGTCGAAACTCGATAAAATTTACATCGTTTTTCCAATCTTATCGGCCGAAAGGCGATAAGAGACAAAAACCTTCGCCAAATTGTTTGATCTAAGGCACTGTTCACACGACGGACAATATTTATGAAACATCGAGAAATCTTCATATGAAAGATTGATTGGAGTGAAACATGGAAAAAAAGGGGATGGGGATGGGCGACAAGGAATTGGAAGATATTTCAAGCTAAGGAAATCTTTAAATAGGACGCCACCAGAAAAAAGAAAGAAAAGATGGACTCATTGATTCAGGAAGTCAAGGCTGCAATGGAAGAAACAGTCAAAGACATACTGAATAAATGCAACGAAACCATCGGGCAGCTTCGGGAGGATTTGAACAAAACGCTGAGGGATAGCGAGGAAAGCAGCGAAGAACACCAGGAAAATATTGTACTGGGAAATATTGTCATGGAAAGGGAAGCACACCTGGAGGCGATACGTGGATGGCCATGATTGGGGATATGGTCGAAACTATCCACAAAGCGACCACTAGAATTTCAGGGGGAAAGATACAGTTAAACAGAAAAGAACAGAATGCTATAAACGGAAGTTTACAGCAAATAATGAGATTCAGTGGAAAACTTAGGTGCAAGTTCAAGACTCTTGAGGTGAAAGAGAGCATGATAGAAGGGAGAATGAGTGAGTTAAAAAGAAAAGTGAGAAAAGGAAAGAAAGGATCTGACAGCGTTTACAATAAGACTAGAAGGTTTGGTAGAGTGGATGAACGGTATGGGTGAGGAATGGCAAGGATTGAAAAAAATGATAATGAATATTGATAGACAAATAAAAAGTTGGGACAACAAGCAAGAGAAAAAAAGAGTAACGTAAAAAGGAACATAGAGAATAAACATCAAAAAAGACCGATAGTAACCACGAAAGGATCTGAACTTCTAACTACTACGGAGATGAAGACGGACCTAGAAACAGAAGCGGCGGATATCGACACAGAGGCCGGATTCCGGGAGGTACAGAACAAAAGAAAGGTAAGGCGGAAAAATAGAGGCAAGAAAGGTTGGATTGGTCCTTTCAAGCGTGTATGTGGAGGAGCATAATAGCGTGACGGTGTGCTTCAAGTGATGTCACTTTGAGCACACCTCCAAAGCATGCAGACAGGAACCGGCATGCAATAAGTGTGCAGGACAACATGAGGGACGTGAATGCATAGGTGATAGGGG